CACTATTTCCAACCAACACCATTCACGGCCAGCCCTGTCGTCTCAAACACTGCAAATAGCACCGCCTCACCATTTCCACCCCCGTTGTCGCCACCAGATCCACCTTATCGTCGCCACCAAGTCCAGATGCTACACTTCCAAAGCAGCTTCGAACTCTCATTTCACCGCCATCATCACCGTCAACCACAATGGTCACCACTAGATCTCCCACATTCAAAACCAAATCAGCTCCGCTATCATACACCTGAGTTGCTACTACATAAGCCGCCATCACATTGTCACCACCGCTGTTGCAAGACGAGATCTGAAAACCACTACAACACTGTCATCTGCAACGTCGAGTGCGAGCAACTTCAGTGCCGTCAAGCTACTCACACTCGACGAAGCTGCTCGCACTCACCAAAAACGCGGGAGAGATATGGGGGCCGATTGGTGCCTCTCATATCAGGGCCGGCCAACGTCGCTGCATTGCACAAAAACGTCGGAGAGAAATCAATTGCTGTCACTGTGTGTTTAGAGAGAGACGGGAAGAGAGGTTAAAATTAGGGTTAGAAATTTGTTGATTTATTTATTAATATCTGAATTTTGAATAATAAAACTGGACTCCTAATTTATGAATTCTGATTTTTAAACACTTGGAATTTTGTAATTTCTTCTAAATTTATCCTTTAGGCCCAAGACAGACCTGGTCCGTAGGCGTAGAGAGTCGAAGTTGAAGCCATCTACTATGATTAGTGGCCCACTAAGGCTCTCTCTCCAATTAGCAATTATCAGTCTCCAGTTTGCTCATGCAAGTTCGATGGTCTCTCAATTGAAGAAACGTGGTTGGATTCTAATATGCTATCTATTCAAAAGCGTGTCTGTACTGTTTAAAGGTCTATTTTGCAGGCATTATCAAATGGGAAAAGGGAGACATAGCATGTTTGACAATTAAATTATTTTTTTATTATCATAGTTAATCATACTTTTTATTCACATATTTTAAAACTTAAAATTATTAATCACTTATTATCCACACATTATTATTATTATTATT